CCAAAAAGCCAACAAATATATATAAATTAAGTACAAGCATTAGTGTTAATTTTTATTTTTATTTATTTATTTGATTAGTCCTCCACAGTTAGATTAGCATTTTTATCTCTACCTTAGATTAAATCTAAAGAAACCCTATCTATCTACCTTATCTCTCTGTCACAACAGACTCATTTGATTTTTGTCTTCAACTTTGAAGAACTTTGAAGAACGGCGGAGGCGAAACCCTATCTTGCGTTGCAACCTCTCTTTCTTTTCCTTCTCAATACAGAAGAAGAAGAAGTTCACAGGTATTTCGTATTCGATTTCTCAGAGTATCCACTTGAAATTGCTCTTTATGCTCTCCGTTTTGTTAGTGTATGAATATCTGTATCTTAGGGTTTTCTTTTAAAAGCTAAATATTTTCATAAACACGAGCAATGGAGGTAGTTGGTGTATCAGATTCTAGTAGTATGTATATTATATTGGCTTAATTCTGCAAATGTCACATTGATTGATGTAGCTGTTTTTGAGTAAAGAAATTTGTAGTGTGCTTCGTTTGACTGAATGTATCTGTAGTTGACATGGTTCTTTGGAAGTTTATAATCTGTACTCTGGTGCTAGATTTGAATTAGCTCCACAAACCTTGTCCCAGCTATTTTGGTTCAGTTGCAAAGTTGGCTGTTTTAGCCAAACTAGGACTTTAAATGCGATTTAGAGTGAATTGGAAATCTGAATTTGCATTTGTGGGTTTTCAAATAGCACCTCCCAGTTATTTCAAATCCACAGATTGGGGGTTTCAAAACAAATCTACCTACAGGTTTCTAGACTCGGGCAATTCGGGCAATTCGGGCTAACCGGAGTTCAAAATACAAAGCTTGGTCCGGGCTTGGGCAGCAATGCTCGGGTTCATGGTCGGGCTTGGGCAATGCCAAATACAATTCGGGCCGGGCCTGGGCAAACCCCCAACCCGACCGAGTTGCACCCCTATTAAGCGCGCAGCTGTTCATGGCTCATGAAATGACTAAAATGCCCCTTCAAAATTTCAACAATTACAGAATTGCCACTATATAAACCCTCTTGTTGCCCTACCCTCCTCACACTCTTCTCATTTTCTCTCTTGGCGACACTGAAGACGATCCCCCACAGCAGCAGATCGAACTCCTCCACATCTCCAACACAGCTGATCGAACTCCTTCCGTGCTTGTTTCCGTTGATCTGCACCAAAAAGGTAAGAGTTCTTGCCTTTTTGTTTGTGATATATATATATATATACATGTATACACACATCGTGTTAGGGTTTACAGACAGAGACCAGATCACACTCCATTCCTCTCTTCGCTTTCTTCTTCTTCTCCGATTTGCATAATCTTCTGCTCAATTTTCAGTGTTCTTGTTAAATTTTTGCTTAAAATCACTATCACTTTGGGTTCAGTTATTTGATTTTTTTTTTAATTATATATATATATATATATTTAAAGATTGGCCCAATCAGTTTAAATGTTGACAAAAACTTTGGGTTTTTGGAGATTGGGAATGGGATGAATCAATTGGTGTACATTAGGTGCAGCTAATGAAGTTGATGTGATAATTGAACTTAAGATTGATAGTTTGCATATATTGTGTCAATTCATTTAATTAGCAATAGTGTGATCTAGTGGGTTAATTAATAATTATTAATATAAAAGTATTGATATGTTCCCCAGCCCATGTTTATGATCATTTAAGGTAAAGATTAACATATATGAAAATAGTATTGATGAGTTTGATGAGTTCAAATGTAACTATTGTTGTGAAGTTTGATGAATTTGTTACTATTGTTGTGAAGTTTGTCCAACCTTCACTATTTTTATTACTATTTTTACTATTGAGTTTGCTTTATGGTAAAGATTAACATATCTGAAAATAGTATTGTTAGTATTGAGTTTGTTTCATGAAGTTTGTTACTATTTTTTTTTATAGATTGTTAATCTGTGATACAATGCTGAAAAGACTATTAGGATCAACTCATTACTAAAACTGCTTGATTAGGGAATTTTCATGTTATGAGAGCATGTAGCTTCAAAATTATGTTCGCCAATTTGTTTGAATTCTGTTTCCTGGAGTTCGTAAAGAATAAACCCACAATTTGGCCATACTGATGGGTATCTTTTTGTAATTGTCTGGGCACTGTTCACATCCTCAAAGTTTTGTATCTCTTTCCTGATTAAAGGCACCCAAACAAAATGTTTTTCTTTTGCTTTTTACCTCTTTTATTATTTTATGCTTCATTGTGGTTGTGTCCCCAAGTCAGTTGCTATTAGTTTAAACATTGAAGATTTATTAGTTTTAACATGGATAGTTCATTGGCATTCAGAAATACATTCAAGATTTATTTTGTCCATTTGGTTTTGTATGTTAGATCAGAGGGAAGACAATTGATCATCTCTTTACTACTTGATTTTGTGAGCTATGGTCCCTTTATTTTTTTGCCCGCTTTACACTCCCCTCCAAGAAACCATGATGAATTGGGACCATCATTTAGGGAAGTGAATTAGTTCATTGAATTAACAGAGACTAGTATTAGGTGTTGGGAGGTTGTCAAGGGGTGTATATGTTAATGGAGGAGGTGTTTTGGAGTTGCAACCTTGCTGCTTGTTGGTGAATATCTGGAGAGGGGGAGACAGCGAGTTTTTAGCCGTCATCATTTTTATTTCTTAGTCATCATTTTCGGAATTTCCATGTTAGAAGGAATATTGAAAATATACTATTGAAAACCTTTTTCATCAAAGAAACAGGTTACCAGAAAAAACTCATCATGACAGGGTTTCTTTTAAGTTAACCACACTATAATTTTTAAGTTTTTTGTTGTGCAAATTATACCTCAAATAACATTATGCGTAGAAATAAACAATCCAAACAAGAAGAACAACTACAAGAAACTGATAAATATTATGAAGAATTTAGAAGTAAAAGGATTGTAATCTTCATTCGTATTGGAACTTACCTAATTACTAAAAGTCATAGTTAAATCAATCAAAAAGCATGCCAGATGAATAAATGCATTCATCTACAAATGAAAGGGAAGATTTTAATAGATTTTAATCAAATAGATGGCTGGTATATCAATGAGCAGATTATGACTTCAATTGATTTTAATCAAACCTTCCAATAGATTTTAATCAACAAGAAGATTATGGCTTCCTAAAACCTTAACTAGATGAGCCATACCATAGATGGCTGGTATATCAATGAACAACTGATGGGTATTGAAGCTGCATGTGTGGTAAAAATAGCAACTCATAAACTAGCAAGATAGGTTGAATTGAATGCCAAAAACATAAATGAAAGGGAAAATGAGAGCATTAAAATAAAGAGTCCATCCACCAAAAAGATGAATAAATGCATTCATCTACAACCCATGGAATTATAAAACTACATGAAATCAAGAAAGTAGACCTGACAGCTACAAGTAGGATCTAGAGAAGAATGAAACTACACCTGCCAACATCTGGCAGATCTTTGAGGTATTACATGAAAAATAATAATAAAAAAGAAAAAATGACTACTTTTTAGAAATTTATTAGCAAGCATGCTCCAATTAAACATAATGATAAAGATTTAGAACTTCTACCAAACATAATGATAAGTTGATAAGTTGAGTAATCTGATAGATTTATCTGGAAATGGTGATAGTTTTACCTGGGAAGCATCAAATGTATGTGGAACTTGGGTTTAAAATAGTATTTGATCCTCTAATTTATCCCTACACAACAAATCTTTCAAACTTTATCTTAGATCTGGGATTGGACATGGATTTCAGGTCTCAGTTTGAGCTAGCAAGGCCTACTTCAACATACTTAGAGCTCACAGCTTCTCTGCCTTTCATATTTGTTGGGAGTGAAGAGAAGCTAATGGAGATAAATATGTTTGGTTTGCTTAGCAAATAGCATCAACAATTTTCTCAAGACTATTCAAAGATGGAATGTAGATTTGGTTGTATTGTTCAGCTACTGCCAAATTTAGGAGATGTTTGTTATAGCTTTTTGTTTTTTGAAAGAAAAAAAATTAAAATCATAAAAACTTGTTTGATAGAAGTATTGTTTTCGTGTTCCTATATGAATTGTTGAGGCTGTGCCTCAAAATTTTGTTTTTTTATTGTTACCTATAGAAGGGAAAAAGTTTTGATGATTTTTTTGGCAATTATCCATTTTAATGTCCTCTACTTGTTTATCTATTTTATTTTATTTACTAATTTTGCTCTCATCACAGACCTATCCAATTTGATCAAATAGCATTCAGGTTATAAAGTATAAATAAGAAGAGTAAACGCTATGTATGAACCATGTATATCTTATAATTAAAAAATAATAATAATAATAATAATAATAATTTTTTAAGTCATAATTGAAAAAAAAGAAAAAAAAATATCATAATTAAATGCAATATGAGGTATAATTAAAGAAATTATGAGTAAGGGCTAGGCTTCTCTTGTGAACTCAATATTAAAAAAAATGACATTTTTATTGCAATGACATTTTTTTATTTCTTATTAAAATAAAAAAATAAAATAAAAATTGAGGTAACGGAAAAATGTACTAAATTAGGTACTATATCAACTTCCATTAATGAAATAATTTTTTCAAAATTTAAAGTGAAGAAAATGATAAAATTACAATTTTTATGTTCATAAGGGCAAAAGTGACAATTACACAGCAAAAAGCTATTTTACAGCTTATTTATTAAATACTACTTTGCTGCTTAAATCTATAATCTCACAGCTGCACCGAACAGGTTACCAGCTTATATTCACAGCTGTAAGTTATAATCTGTTAAACTATAATCTATAATCACTTTCCCACAGCTTTACCAAACGGGGCAAATGTATTGATTCTTACGGTTTTAGTGTTCTCATCAAACCCTGTTTACAGGTTTCGACCCAAATCATCAACGACGTGTTTGGGCTTTGATCTAAGACTACAAAACCCTAGTGAAAAGGAGATAGAGGGTTTGGAAGGAGGGAGGGAGAGAGAGAGAGAGAGATAGCGGAGGAAGTCGTACTGGGCTTCCTCGAGAATGATGAGATCTCAGACTCAGGTGAGTTTGCTTCCGAACGTGGAATTGATCATCAAGAACTCACCAACATCATCAAGAGCCTTCATGGTTTCAGATTTGTCAATGCTCAGGTCCACATTTCTATCTAATATGTATATATATGCATATCTATTGCAATTGTGTTGAGTTGATCAAAATCTCATATGTAATTGATTGCGCATGAACCTTTTTAACAATTGTGCGAAAAATAATGATACTGTAACAAATTTTTTAGTTGATTTAAATATGCATAATTGATTACATTTTATTGATGGAATAGATAGATTTTAAACTTGAGCTGTTATTGTGCTAAATTTAGATGTTCTAATTGGCCAAGCTCTAAAAGTTGAATGCCCAAATTTTAGCTCAAAAAATCATTTCATTTTTTGTTTGGATGCCGGTTAAATATGTTGGTGAATAGTTTGCGTGGTTGCATTCTTATATATATCAAGAGAAGGCAAATGATTGATGAATTCGTTTAGGGACTAGACGGTTTAGCCAAAAAATCAAAAAGTTATTAAAAAAGTTAAAAAGCCAACAATCCATATCAAAAAGTCAAAGATTCTCTTTTCTCTCTACTTTTTGCACATCTTTTCGTAAAAAGCCAAAAAATCATCCCAAACATATTAGTTTTTTTTAGCTCATATTTTAGCCAAATAGTCAAAAAGTTACTAAATTAGCCTGTTCCCAAACGAGGCCTGATTGTTTTGGAAGACTGGAAGGAATTAGGCACACACTCTCTCTGCCAATTTTTGCTTTTGTTTCAACTGTTTTTCCTTAAATGGTTGTATGTAGGATGTCCCGGATGATTGGGTTGGAAACACATTTGTTTTTTGCGCATGGAAAGTGGGACATAGTACCCTTTCATGCTCCGTAACTTGCTTTATCTTTATACTTCTGAATTAATTTATGTGAATATCAAAGTGTAGAAAGGAGAAATTCAACATTGTTGCCTGCATTGTTTTTGCGAGGCTTCCATGCCTAAAAGATAAAGAGCAAATATGTATATATACAGGTCTTTTATGTCTCATGTTTATCTCTGAATTTCTTTGAGGTTCATTTTTATTGGGATTAATTAGAAAACAAGTTCAGCGTGTTTATTCTGCGTATTATGCTATCTCTTATGATAATAATTCATGACAGGATACTGATTTCAGATTGCATGGTAATACTGCATTAGTATAATAGAATGACAAAGATACATCTTTATTGGGTCATATCACGTCATCAAGGTTTTAAAAAGCGGCCGTAACCATTACGTAACGCGGTTACGTAACGGTTTTGGTGGTTACCGCTACCCGTTACGACCGCTTTTGCAGTGTGATTGAGATTCACAGGTGTGTCGGCCGTAGCGGTCGTAACGGTGCTGTAACAACCGTGATGGCCTGTTACACACCGTTACGTAACGGTTCCAAACTGTTTCTTTCGAAAAAAAACACAAAAAAAAGCTAAAAATTGAGGAAAAGGGATAGAGAGAAGAGGGAAGATAAAGAGAGAAAATGGAGGAGCAAGAGATAGAGAGAGTGAAGAGGGAAGATGAAGAACATGTTATTGATTTGTTAAAGTTGTAAGACCTATACTATTCTATTCAACTGCTATCACTCAACCATTTTGTTTGTGTGTGTCTATCTATATATTGTCTGAAAATAATAATAATAAGTGTGGTCATTATCTATTTGGTTTGGTTAAAATATGTATATATATATGTATATATTTAGGTTCTTATTTATTCTCTTACTTTTATCATTGTTTATCTTATATATAATAGTTATTGATTGATTTTTTGTATAATATAAAGTTATTAATTATTAAAATAAAATATAAAAAACTCCGTTTATAGTGATTTAAAAATATGAAATATATTGGATCATACTTAAAAATTTACAAAAATTGATCAATATGTACCGGTAAGTTTTTTTCAAATTGTGCGAAAAATAAAAAAATTCATGGCTCCGGTTACCGCAACCGTTACGCTAAGGCCTTTACACAGCGCCACCGCAACCGGGCCACTGCCACCGTTACGGCGACCGCAACCGCTTTTCAGAACCTTGCACGTCATATAATTGTAGATATTATTTCTGTAGATTACATATGCTTCATGCTAATTGTGCAGGACATTAAGAGGGAGAGATGGGTACTTACTGAGGAAGGAAGAACATATGTTGCTGCTGGATCACCTGAAGTACAAGTTTTCTTGGCCATACCACCAGAGGGTATTTCACCGGAAGAATTGCAGGTTATGCATCTGTATATTAGGTTACATGCAGTTAGAAATTGTAGTCTAATACAAGAAGTAATAATGGGATTTTTCATGTAGGAACAACCATGAGCTATTCTGTAATTCCATTTTATTTTCAATTTTCATACTTTGGATGTAGGGAGTGCTGCATTGGTTTGATATAGAATGCAGTCCTTGGGAGTTGAAAATTCTTGCATTGACTGTAACATTCATTTGACTTGTTTGAAAAACATCTGCTTCCAATTGCTTGCAAACAAACGCAACCGAGAGACTAGTGTAGATATGAGCTTTTTTGTTAAATATTTATTTGGTTTTCTAATTGAAATTTGATTTATGCTCCTAGAAGATTTATTTATGATCAACAGTTAGCTTATCCAAAGATGTATTGTTGAAGTTGATCTTTGTGCATGCAGAGGAAAATGGACCCAGCGGTTTTCAAAATAGGTCGCTCACAAGCGATAAAGAATCAATGGTTGGAGATGGGAAAGCAATTAGTCACCAAAAAGGTAAACATCAAGAAAAATTTTAGATTACATAGATCTGGAAGAGCTACTTATGTTCTATTAAGATTTCTTAAATTTTGAGATTTTAAAGGGTGTTGATATCCTCGATTCGACAAATCTTGTCTTTCGTCTTTTGCGTGTTGAAACTCACTTTCTTGGTGTGAAAAGTGAGCTTGAACTGACTTGGAAGTCCGATGAGTTTGCACGACAGTTAAGGTTTACCTTGCCTTGAGAGCTGGGGCAATGTTTTAAAAGGCGCGCGCCTAAGCGTGAGGCGCAGCCTTGCGCTTCAAACAGGTCGAGGCAAGGCGCAATACACGAGGCGTCGGCTTTATTGGTTTTACCTATTTTTCTACTCCAACTGTTGATTAAGTGTTTTTTTTTTGTGGGCATACCCACAGTGATTCAAAACTTTTCAATATAAAATGACCAAACGTGATCAAAAGATAGCAGAAAGTGATAAATATTGAATGTTATGCTTTATCTTTTGTTGGATATTATATTCTAGGTTTTAGAAGAGGCAAGGCGCAATACACGAGGCGTCGGCTTTATTGGTTTTACCTATTTTTCTACTCCAACTGTTGATTAAGTGTTTTTTTTTGTGGGCATACCCACAGTGATTCAAAACTTTTCAATATAAAATGACCAAACGTGATCAAAAGAGAGCAGAAAGTGATAAATATTGAATGTTATGCTTTATCTTTTGTTGGATATTATATTCTAGGTTTTAGAAGATTGAATGTTATGTTTAAAGATTATCGGAAATGGTTATGATTTTTTAAATTATATATATATACATATATTTATTATGTTGAAAAGTTTGCCTATTTTATAATTTTGCTTTTCTTCTACTACTCGCGCCTCGCCTCACCCCTCGCGCCTCGCCTCGCACCTCGCGCTTAGGCTATAGGAGATCTTATCACCTCGGTGCGCCTAGAGCCTTTTAAAACACTGAGCTGGGGAACGTGGTTGGTGTCGTGTCTTGGTCTGATTGTTCAGCAGAGCGATCAAGATTGAAATGATTTTACTCTTAAACCTGCTCTTCTTAGGAATAATATGCTGCATGTAAATGTTAAGTGAGGATTTAACACCCTATCTACTGGATCACCTAAAATTCAGTCAAAGATCATGGACTCTGAAAAATTTGTTTAGCAGAAGTCATGTGAATGAAGCGTATATACATCTCTATTGTTTTTCTTTGTTCATGTAATTTTTTCAGTTGACTGTAAAATTTGCCCATTATTTTGATTGGTTCTTGGATTCAAAATCTGAGTTAGGTTTCACTTGATCACCAACTGCTTTGTTATAGGTTGTGAACATATAGTTTTGTTAGCTCCATTTCAGGTGTCTAGTTTTCTTTTGTGAGAGTTGGTTCTCTTAAATTCATCTGCGCAGTCAATTACATGATGGTGCATATAGAAAAGTACATATGGTTGGCATTGATGTGTTTTTCCACTTATACGTCATGTTTATTGTACCAATACATTACTCATCAATTTTCTAATGCTGGTCAATTGTTGTAGGTTCAAAATGTGCAAGATAACGTTAAAGATATGCTTACACGGGTACAAAATGGAGAGGTAAATATATCTTAAACTGATTTTTTCATCATTTCAGATTATTAGTTACCACTTTCTTCAACTGTGAGTTTCAGGACTGAAAGTTCCAACATTCCTTTCCTTGAAATAACTTAAATTGATATTATTACTTGCGTTAATATTATTTATTTCACATGAATATCTCCTAATTTTATTATTACCTGATACACAAGAATCATCCAGAGTCAATGACAAACTGCTGATAATATAAAGTTGTGTTCATTGTTTGATATTAGGTACTCATCTTGTTTCTAAAAACAAGAACCATATTTCTATAGTAGAATAATTATGCAAGAATGGGTTATAATAAATTACTGGTGTATATTTGAGAACTATCTTATAGCATTTTTATATCTAGTGCTTTATACCCAAGATTCCTGTAATTGTTCACTACTGAACTTATTTCACTCAAAAAGAAAAAGAAAAAATAAAAACCTAAACTTTACGTATGATGAGCATCGCCAAACAACTTAAGCTACTTTGATAAGGTATTTCTTCCTGCTTTATCTACTTTGTGTATACTTGTTTCCCTCATGTTTATCATAAATTGTTGTGATTCCACAGGTCATTGACCCAAAAGAAATTGATGCTCTTAAACGGCGAAAGCTCATTGCTCCACAGTAATTACTTTCCAGTTTTTCAATTTTTTTATTTATTTCTGCTTGCTTGTAATTTTTGTTTCAGTTGAAAACTTTTCCAGAAAGAATTAGACATTCTTTCTGCTGGGGTCGTTACTTGTGAAACTAGAGAAAATTGTCTTTTGTTAATTCTGCTTCTGACATGTCTCATATTCTGTTTATTGTTGATAATTCTTTATCTACTTTTCTTCCTAGGATGTGGAAGGGCTACTCGGCAAGGAAAGGTCCTAACTATGCTCCAAAAAGGAAAAAATTTGCCACCGATTTGACTCGAGATAATCTGCAAAGGTAATCCAGATATCAATGGATATTTCTTGGAGACATGTATTATGCATGCAATGATTAAACATTTGGGTTTAATGACATGCTTTTTGAGTGATTTAAGACAATGGTTATTTTATGTGTCATTATGAATTAAAGATATGATTCTGTTTGTCTTTCCTCCAACCACTCACAACGCCACTTATTGGGGTATTGACTTGTTCAACCCTTTTTATGTTCATCTGTAAGCCAAAGCTGTTTGAATTGTAGAATCTTGAACTGGTAGTCATTCTCTATATGTATGTTTTATAGCATTAAGGAAAGCGAATCCAAAGGTTTTTTCTCGCTGAGGAGGTCTCTTCCTGCACAATAATTAATTTCAATTATCAGCTCTTTAAGGTGCTTCCGGTTGTTAATGAATGAACTATTCTTGATGTTGGTCTGTTAAACATGCATGCCCCTAGCTGATGTTTGAATACTTTTAATGGTTATGGCTACTTATATGCCCTCTGTGCCCTTGGAAGTTTTGGTGTTAGCTTGGGTGTTCGTGCGTAAGATTATCTACACCATTGGATGTGTATCCTCTTGGTGTATTCCACTGAAGAAGAGTAGAGCTTAGGTGTTTACTTATCTGCTACATCTGAGATGTCTGTTGCTTATATATTAATTTACCATGAATGTCATTTACAGTTTGTCAAGCTGACATTTGTTTCTCTCTCTCTCTCTCTCTCCCTCTCTCTCTCTCTCAAAGAGGTGATTGGAAGGATATGGAATTCAAGGAATATAACTTCAGTGCTAAAGGTCAGCCTATTGAAGGTGGCCATCTCCATGCATTGCTCAAGGCAAGGATATGATTTTCCTTTTCTTTATTCCCCCCTCTGTCTAGCTAATTTCTTTCCCAGTTTGTTTTTTTACTTAGTCTACTTGTAAGAATTTATGTATTATTGATTGATTAATTGATTGTTGTATCTTGATATTTATTACAATGATCATGATTCCTATATATAGAAGAGGTTGAGTGTGTAGTAGGTAAGGAGTAGGTGAAGTGGAGGTGGTAGTGGTGTAGTGGGTTAGGTTTAGTGGAGTAGGTGAGGTGGTAGTGGTGTAGTGGGTTAGGTTTAGTGGAGTAGGTGAGGTGGTAGTGGTGTAGTGGGTTAGGTTTAGTGGAGTAGGTGAGGTGGTAGTGGTGTAGTGGGTTAGGTTTAGTGGAGTAGGTGAGGTGGTAGTGGTGTAGTGGGTTAGGTTTAGTGGAGTAGGTGAGGTGGTAGTGGTGTAGTGGGTTAGGTTTAGTGGAGTAGGTGAGGTGGTAGTGGTGTAGTGGGTTAGGTTTAGTGGAGTAGGTGAGGTGGTAGTGGTGTAGTGGGTTAGGTTTAGTGGAGTAGGTGAGGTGGTAGTGGTGTAGTGGGTTAGGTTTAGTGGAGTAGGTGAGGTGGTAGTGGTGTAGTGGGTTAGGTTTAGTGGAGTAGGTGAGGTGGTAGTGGTGTAGTGGGTTAGGTTTAGTGGAGTAGGTGAGGTGGTAGTGGTGTAGTGGGTTAGGTTTAGTGGAGTAGGTGAGGTGGTAGTGGTGTAGTGGGTTAGGTTTAGTGGAGTAGGTGAGGTGGTAGTGGTGTAGTGGGTTAGGTTTAGTGGAGTAGGTGAGGTGGTAGTGGTGTAGTGGGTTAGGTTTAGTGGAGTAGGTGAGGTGGTAGTGGTGTAGTGGGTTAGGTTTAGTGGAGTAGGTGAGGTGGTAGTGGTGTAGTGGGTTAGGTTTAGTGGAGTAGGTGAGGTGGTAGTGGTGTAGTGGGTTAGGTTTAGTGGAGTAGGTGAGGTGGTAGTGGTGTAGTGGGTTAGGTTTAGTGGAGTAGGTGAGGTGGTAGTGGTGTAGTGGGTTAGGTTTAGTGGAGTAGGTGAGGTGGTAGTGGTGTAGTGGGTTAGGTTTAGTGGAGTAGGTGAGGTGGTAGTGGTGTAGTGGGTTAGGTTTAGTGGAGTAGGTGAGGTGGTAGTGGTGTAGTGGGTTAGGTTTAGTGGAGTAGGTGAGGTGGTAGTGGTGTAGTGGGTTAGGTTTAGTGGAGTAGGTGAGGTGGTAGTGGTGTAGTGGGTTAGGTTTAGTGGAGTAGGTGAGGTGGTAGTGGTGTAGTGGGTTAGGTTTAGTGGAGTAGGTGAGGTGGTAGTGGTGTAGTGGGTTAGGTTTAGTGGAGTAGGTGAGGTGGTAGTGGTGTAGTGGGTTAGGTTTAGTGGAGTAGGTGAGGTGGTAGTGGTGTAGTGGGTTAGGTTTAGTGGAGTAGGTGAGGTGGTAGTGGTGTAGTGGGTTAGGTTTAGTGGAGTAGGTGAGGTGGTAGTGGTGTAGTGGGTTAGGTTTAGTGGAGTAGGTGAGGTGGTAGTGGTGTAGTGGGTTAGGTTTAGTGGAGTAGGTGAGGTGGTAGTGGTGTAGTGGGTTAGGTTTAGTGGAGTAGGTGAGGTGGTAGTGGTGTAGTGGGTTAGGTTTAGTGGAGTAGGTGAGGTGGTAGTGGTGTAGTGGGTTAGGTTTAGTGGAGTAGGTGAGGTGGTAGTGGTGTAGTGGGTTAGGTTTAGTGGAGTAGGTGAGGTGGTAGTGGTGTAGTGGGTTAGGTTTAGTGGAGTAGGTGAGGTGGTAGTGGTGTAGTGGGTTAGGTTTAGTGGAGTAGGTGAGGTGGTAGTGGTGTAGTGGGTTAGGTTTAGTGGAGTAGGTGAGGTGGTAGTGGTGTAGTGGGTTAGGTTTAGTGGAGTAGGTGAGGTGGTAGTGGTGTAGTGGGTTAGGTTTAGTGGAGTAGGTGAGGTGGTAGTGGTGTAGTGGGTTAGGTTTAGTGGAGTAGGTGAGGTGGTAGTGGTGTAGTGGGTTAGGTTTAGTGGAGTAGGTGAGGTGGTAGTGGTGTAGTGGGTTAGGTTTAGTGGAGTAGGTGAGGTGGTAGTGGTGTAGTGGGTTAGGTTTAGTGGAGTAGGTGAGGTGGTAGTGGTGTAGTGGGTTAGGTTTAGTGGAGTAGGTGAGGTGGTAGTGGTGTAGTGGGTTAGGTTTAGTGGAGTAGGTGAGGTGGTAGTGGTGTAGTGGGTTAGGTTTAGTGGAGTAGGTGAGGTGGTAGTGGTGTAGTGGGTTAGGTTTAGTGGAGTAGGTGAGGTGGTAGTGGTGTAGTGGGTTAGGTTTAGTGGAGTAGGTGAGGTGGTAGTGGTGTAGTGGGTTAGGTTTAGTGGAGTAGGTGAGGTGGTAGTGGTGTAGTGGGTTAGGTTTAGTGGAGTAGGTGAGGTGGTAGTGGTGTAGTGGGTTAGGTTTAGTGGAGTAGGTGAGGTGGTAGTGGTGTAGTGGGTTAGGTTTAGTGGAGTAGGTGAGGTGGTAGTGGTGTAGTGGGTTAGGTTTAGTGGAGTAGGTGAGGTGGTAGTGGTTGAAAACAAATTGAGATATTTGCTACTCAATTCGAAAACCATTCTGAATTTTTTGGAGCTATCTTCATGGATCCTTCTCCAGTTGATTCTATTCAAAGGCATATCCTCAATTAAGACTGAGAAAAAAAAATTGGAATTTGCATTTGAGAGTTTAATTTGGCGATGTTTGTTAAGACTTTGTTATGTGCAGACATTTAATGTTTGCCTTTGATCTTGTAATATAATGGTCGAGGCCTTTTCAGCCGCAGATTTATGCATGTTACAACATGCATTTAAAAGTATCAATTACCTTTTATAACACACGAGTATTTACTACTACTACTACTAATAATAATAATAAATAATAATAATAATTCACATATGAGTATATTCAATGAAGGTTTTGAAAATTTAATAAATATTGCCAATGATGCGAAAGCATGAAATGGTGCACCGTTTTTTCTACCCCCAACTCAAGTCACCTGCACTAAGACTGTCAGGTGCCTCTTAATTAGCTAATGTTTATTTGAGAACTGCAAAGAGTTGTCAAGGCTGCCACTCAGTGAATGTTTGTTCATTGGCAGTATGTCTAAAGGCTATAAGCTATAGGTGAATTTTACCAACAGATAGCTGAATGGCTTAGATAGATTACAAGAGTTGCATCTTTTGCATGACAACAGTTAAGATAATAGTTCATGAATAGAAAAAATAATAGCAAAGACAATAGTGACGAAAGTCTTGGTCAGGAACTCTGTCACCTTTTTGTTGGTCAGTAATCACTGTGAAACTTAGGTTGTTTATTAATGAATGGTTGTCGCATATCTTCATAAGATTACCGTTTGTAAAAATCTCTTCATTTCAGGTACGACAACAATTCAAGATGATTTTTCTTCAGATGGGGTAAGACCTGATCATGGTTCTGTCATAAACATGTCTGAACGCATGTGTCTATTAAGTTGTGAAGGTAGAAAGTTTGCACCATTGCCTCCTTAGATACCTTTTCATTCTCATATATTTGCTTTAATTTTGGTACACGAGTCCTTACATTTCTATAGCTGACACTTGACAACATATACCAATTCATCTATTAATTTAGAGTCTTCACAATATTAACACTTGTGATGTCATACACCCTATTATTTTATTGGGGAAATATCAGTTCAGCCTGTAAGACCAAAAAGATATTTGCGCCAAACACAGTCAAGACTTGCCCCCATAAAGATTTGCATCAATTTGTAAAATCTGTGCCCCATTTGCCAATGCAGTCTAGGGTACAAAGCTAAGAAGCATGGACACTTCTAAAGAGCTGGTGTGTCCGTGTCCGTGTCCGTGTCCGTGTCCGACACTTTCCAGACATGTGTCCGATGCTCATCCAAACGTGTCCTATTTTTTTAAAATGAATTTATACTCGGACACTCTTTAGACACTTGGAGGACACATGTGTTCATTGCTTAAACAAACGTGTCTATAGATTAGACAACACAAAACTAATTATAAGTTTAAATAAAATAACTTAGAATATGATGATAAAGAAAAATAATGTCAATTTATAGAAATTAGTGTTATATTGCATTTATTTATTGTTTTAGAATGATATATTCATATATATGACACATAATAAATTTATAGAATTATATATTATGTGTGTCCCCCCCACATGTCGTGTGATGCATTTTTTAAAAATTGCCGTGTCATGTGTCCGTGTCCGTGCTTCGTAGGTACAAAGTGTGTGGGGTTATGGTGTATATATGTGTGTTGCTTAATGAAGTGCATAACTCCACACAGATTGTGTACTGTCTAGTATTCGTTGTCTATATCTCACCAAAAGTTGACAATTTAGAGCATAACAAGAATTAAAGTATCTTTAAACCAAGAGTTATGAATAAAGATGGTGAGGTTAAAAGGTATGCATGGGAAGCTATGGTCGACAAATCCTACCATCACTATGTGTTTGTGCATGTCTATTTATGCATCACTATGTTTTGGGGGTTAATGTTCTTTTCAATTGGTCACTTAATGGATGCAGATTTGAGGAGATGCCCACGAACAATTTTGTTGAAAGCAGGTAACTTATCTTTCCCCTCCCAAACACACATTAATGTGTATAATTGGTTTTTTTTTTTTCTTTTTTTCCAGGTAACTGATCTTGCCCTTTATAT